ATACATATACATATATATACATATACCAAGCCCAAACTTGAAAGGTACTCTTTTCAAGTGCAAATATTAACACTGACTTTTGCATTTTGTCTAATAAGCTTAAAATTGTTTTGAGGTATTTCTTGTCTGACTCGCACATGAAGCACAATGAGCCATATCCAGCCATTACAGTGAGCCCGTTTATTTCATGTTAGTTTGATAATTCTTGACCTTTCAAGTGTGTAGCTCATTCAGCAATAATCTACAGCGGTTTGGTGTGACTGAAGCCCTTTCAGGTTTTATGGATTGCTTTTCTTGGCAGTGAGCTGGATTTTAAAAAGAGCCAAGAGTTGGTGTGTAATTGTGGTTTGCTGACTTAGTCTGAGATGAAGTTAGAGAAATACCTCATGACTATAAGCGGAAAATGCTGGCTCAGATAAAAAAAGAAATGCAACAGAAAGTGTGGACGGGTCTTTACTTGTCTGGTTTATGGTCCAGCTTTCACTGAAATCTTGACTGTCTCTCTGAATTTCTGCAGGCTGAAAGAAGTTCAAGCAGTAAAAACAAAAAATACATTAAATAAAAAAGGGATAGAGAAAGAAAAAACAACAACATGCCCCCTGCTGGTCATCAGGAGAAACTCAGATCTGTGAAGAGATACAATGACAAAACAACTTTCCCAAGTGCACTTACCTTTAATGACATAAAATCACTGTGCTTCATGTCTGATTTAAGCAGTTAGATTAGCAATGAAGAGCATACTGCCTTACACAGAATATTTTTATCTTTCAATATTGTGTATTTTAATTTACAGTGACCGTGGTTCAGTGTTTCATCTAGGAATAATCAAAGGAAACGTACAGTGTGCTTTGATGTCTCTGTCTGAATTGTTCTCTCTGTTAGCCTTTGAAAGGAAACGGATGCAGTTGCTGGTTTACTGGGAATAATTTCATGATGACTAATTCCAGACACAGCCACTTCCCATTCTTACAAAACGTCAATGACACCAGCACACATTCAGAACGTCTCGAGATTTCCTGCTCTTTATGCTTGTTTTGTGTGTGTGTGTGTGTGTGTGTGTGTGTGTGTGTGTGTGTGTGTGTGACTACAGGAAGTTCCAGTAACTGTAAGTTCTGCTGCATGAGACTATAATTCGTCGACAGTAGAGACGTGTCCTCAGCTCAACTCTGTACACACACACACACAGTGTGTGTGTGTGACTACAGCTGATTGACACATTCTCCACGGAGATCTCGGAGCTAAAGCAGGAGATGGTTCAGCCAGCCAGAGAGCCAGAGACAGAGATCTTACAGGGGTGAGTCCTTCCTTCACTGTCATCCTCTTCACTGGCATTAATAGGTTATATTACATGGTGTTTCTTTTGTATATGTGCTCATTTGTAAAGTGGGATTCAAAGGTGTGAGATGACACTGAACATGTAATTTAAACCTGAAAATAAAGTTTTAAAGGGGTCATATGATGCTGCTAAAAAGAACATTATTTTGTGTATTTGGTGTAATGAAATGTCAGCGTTATGCAAATCTTCCCACATAGTGAGGTAGATATGTGGGGGCGTTAGAACGAGCCGTTTTAGGTAGGTGTGGCTGACTCTTAACTTTTATAAAGAATATCTCTTTGGATTTGAGACTTTAGTCTTTGCAACTTTACAGATCTTCTTTATGCAACAAGAGCTTGTAACACTCCAAAGAGAAAGGAAAAATCTCAATCGCATCATATGACCCCTTTAATTAAAAAAAGCAAACTAAGCAATATTTTGGAAGTGTCATAGAGTTATAGCTGTATCTGGCATTAAACTGGGATGGGAGAAGCGTTTTTATAATAATAATAAAAAAATATCTCCAGATTTATGTAGTCATTCTGTGTTCTGTATCACAAGCATCAGCTTTAAGATTCATTCTCAGTGTTTGTTATTGTACTTCCCATGTTCTCCAGCAGGTGGAGCATGTCTTATTTTTGAGCCATAAGCATTCAATGCTTTTGCAATACCGCATTTCCATGAAATTAAAAGGAAGTGCAACGAACAATAAATTCAGGTGTTTCACAATCAGCTTTCAGAAGTTTGAAAACAGCTTAACCAAAACAAGCTTCAATCTCTAATATTTTTTCCTCATTTGATATTCTTGCATTTATAATGCATGCATATGAATATTACAATTGACAAACATTCCTAACATTCATAAACATACTTTTATAACTCTTGCAAAATCTGTGAGCCTTCAGTCACTATGGCTCCTTTTGATGTATAATGAAATAGTTCTGTAATTTAGGTGTAGTAGTTTTTGTTTTTTACGGTACTGATAGGTCAGTGTGGGTTTGGAATGTAGGAGGAGGTCTTACTTCCTGTCAAGCTGTAAAGAGTTCTGACTAGGCTGATTAAAAATATAGACCATTATAAAAATTATAATGAACAAAAAACAGCTATATTTGATTTAATTATTTGATTAAACAACTCAAATCAATGAATTAACAGGTTCACATTAACGGGTTTATAGGTTCACATTAGTTCAGTAGTGTAACTGACAGTTGTACATCATTGTTTGCAAAGTATGCAAACTTGAACACTTTTAATCAGCAAGGATGCATTAAATTGAACAAAAATGACAGTAAAGACATTTATAATGTTACAAAATATTTCTGTTTCGAATGAATGCTGTTCTTTTAAACTATCTATTCATCAAAGAATCCTGAATCACATTTTCTACAAAAATATTAATCAGTAAAACTGTTTTAACATTGTCAATCATAAGAAATGTTTCTTGAGCACTACTTGAGAATTTTTAAAGGATCATGTGACACCGAAGAATGGAATAAAATACATTTTAAAATATATTAACTGGGATTCTCCCAGATTTAGGGTGTTAGGTGGTCTGCAGTTTTTCTTTTACTGTAAAAGTGATCTGCCACCTGAAAACATTTGACAACCACTGCTTTAATCCAAGACCAAGTGTGGTTTTGATCTTGTGTTGTTGTGAAATAAAGGTTCCTCTCTCTATGTATATATCTGCAGTCTGGAAGGAGAGGTCAGTGGTCTTTTCCTTCAATCTTCTGCCTGCGCTGGTGCACCTGGAGTGAGGGATTCTGGGTATGACTCTCTACGCAGACGCATGAGCATCCTGGACAGACTGATGCAGACACACTCTGTATGGTTGCTACTGTCACTCAGCGATGAGGAAGCCAGACGCATTCTGCAGCCGCAGCCGGCAGGGGTAAAGACAACAGCCTCCTTGCTTCACAACAATCGGTTCTTTTGTTATTTATTTTTTATTACGGTCAGTCACATTCATGTGTGTGTGTCTGTGTTCTATCTAGAGTTTTGTGGTGAGGAGGTGTTATAAACTGCAGAAAAAGGTGATTTCCCTACGTATGGACAGTGACACACTGATTGTTCGGGACTTCCCAGTTAAAGAGAGTCAATATAGTAAGTGATATACTAAGTGTACTTCCATTAGTAGACCACTAATAGTGTGTGCATCTGCGTCAACTTTTTCACTTCCTCCTGCCTGTAGTTTTTGGTTGTTTTTTGCCTGTCCATTTCCTGTCTAATTATTTGGAACAACCATGCATCTCATCAGAGTAAACGCTGACCTAGTAATAAACTGTGTTTGTTTGTTTGATGTTTTTGCTTAATTTATGCTTTTTGTTATTCTGTCAAAGACACATTTCATAATACAGGGCCATAAGTGTGCTGTGGTACTGAATATCAGTATGATATATATGTAGCGTGATATACACAGCATAAACTACCGTTCAAATGTTTGGGGTCAGTACTTTTTTTTTTTTTTAATAAATTAATACTAAATAAATAAATTAATATTCAGCAAGGATGTATTAAATTGATCAATCGTGACATTACAGATATTTATAATTTTACAAAATTGTGAATCCTGAAAAAAGTATCATGGCTTCCACAAACTTATTAATCAGCACAACTTAATTTAAATTGCAATATTAAACTGCAATATTATAGAATATACAGAAGAGGAATTTCCTACCACAAACTTTTGAATGGCAGTATACATATTTAATATCTGAAAGAGCAAATATGGAAAAAATTATTTGGTTGGAAACAAAACTTTTTTTGAAATAGAAGAATCGTTCATAAATCTATTCATTTTTACTGATGATTTTTTTTCTGTTCTTATGTTTCATGAATGAAGCCTAATGAATCTTAAAATCCATTTGTATGGATCAAGCTCCAATTGTGCTATGCTGTTATTCTACTTAAATGAAATCAGTTCTCTCACTGTTTTATCTCCATCAACACAGTTCTTGCATTCTGCTTCAGTCCCATCTCTCTGGTTTTCTCTCTGTCTTTGTCTGTCACTTTCTGCAAATGCAGTAAGTGGGTCAGATCCTGTGCGACTTGTGTGAAGGATGTTTAAATGTACAAATTTGGCTCTGTTTACTTTTCCCTTTGAGAGAGACTGTTAGGTCATTCCAGTTTTTCCAATAGCTATTCCTGTGGTGTGTGTGTGTGTCTTTATTACAGCTTTTTCCCTGGAGGGCTCAGGGATCAGCTTTGCAGACCTCTTTCGACTGGTGGCGTTCTGCTGTATCAGCAGGTAAAATTATCTCACTCTGAAAAACATAAACAGCTTGTTAGTTTCTAGGATCATTCAGTAGTCTATTTTATATTTAAAAGTGCGAGTACAGTAACCATTATGCTTTGTTGGTGTAGATATTTATCATTTATAAGAATTCTTGCTTTATCGCTTTTTAGACTCAAACTAGTAATGATTACACAAGCATAGATCCCAGACTCAGCCCAAAACAACAATATTAGCTCAACCAATGGAGTGAATTTGAGGTGGGACTATCCTTTGACCTGCCAATGGAAGTGGAAGGTGCACAAAAATTATACCCATAACCTTAAAGAAAATCTCAGTTCTCAGAATAAACCAAAATGTTTGTGGTAAAGTAAAATAAGATGATGCTGTTTCAGCTGCATTCCAGTGCTGAAGACCAACACAGATAATAGCAGGAAGGAAGGGTCTGACTGGAGTGGCCTTTTTTTGCTTGAAAAAAAAATGTAGTCAAAGTTAGTCTGTCTTAACCTGTTTACATAGTTAGAGCTCACCTCTGTACTGTAGTTCTATAGTTCTGTAATGAAGAGGTTTGCGAGATGTAACAAATCCATGCCGGGTCTGTGTCAATGCCACACAGAAAAGTCAGTGGATAAACACAGCCCTCTTTCTGCCAAACTCACCCACATGCTCTGATTAACAGATTTCTCTCTCTCTCTCTCTGTCTCTGACTCCTCCTTTCTTTCATTCTCTCCACGGGTGCACACAACAAGTCTCAGCCCGGATATTCTTGCGGTTTAGTTTTTAGTATTTGTCATCACTCTAACAGTCTTTTGAAGCATTTTTGTAATGTTTTTAGCTCTTCTCAACATTTATCTGTCCTCTTTAGGGACGTTCTGCCCTTCACACTGAAGCTGCCTGAGGCCATTGCAGCTGCAAAGATCCCTAAAGATCTGGAGGAGGTGGCTCAGTTAGGAAGAGGTGAGTTTTCTTCCCAATGCATGAATGTTTGCTCTCCAGAGTTTTACTGAGCTTAACTGCTGACTTATGAGTTTCAGCGTTACTCAGACAGCATAAATACTCCTCGAATGACCCTCAGCATTTTATGTGTTTATTATATGTCTGTGTGACTGGGTGTAATTGCATGTGTACTGGAAACCTAATGCAGATGTTGTTTGCATTCCATCTTTAATTCTGGTCTGAGTTATAATGGTAGTCAGTGTGTCAAAGTTTAGTCGTTGTTGAGCATTCAGCATTTTTACATGGTTAAAGCATTTAGCTAGGCATTTCATTTACAAGTAACCACCAACTCTAAAACATTAAGACAAAATGCACAGCATAGAGAGAGAGAGAGGATACACATCTTAAAATTCCATAAAGATAAATTGATAATTATTTTCATGTTGGCCGATAACCAATTAATTTTATATTATATAAAAATTCTATACTGTTTTCTGTCGTGTATTTTCATTTTGACATTTGCTCAAGATTCAGTTTAACATTTATTAAATTATTAGTGTAACTAATAACTTTAATGTTTTTAAGTCTTAAAGCCTGAGGTCCACAGGTTGTATGCAGACATGCTGATGAACATGTTGGATTTTGTAGTGTGACAATATCTGGCATATTGTGAAGAACATAAGTCAGATATGTCCTGGAGCATTGACTATACAGGTGTTACTGTGCCAGCAAACACACGACAACATTTCACATGTGGCTTTTAACAAGCAGCTCATGTGGCCAACATATGCGCATGATGAGATGTCGATTAGGTGAAATTGACCACAGATGTGTTTGATGCTAGTAAATGTCTCTATCAAACAGAGATCTGCCTGTGTGCTGTGTCTGATTCAGACTACATGTTGTAACTTTGCACCTTACTTGACTTATGTGATGTACAACATTCCTGTACTGAGACGGATTAAATCTTGAACACAAAACTGGTGTGGTTTTGTTTTTCAGCAGAGATTATGAGATTCATTACAAAAGATTTTAAAAGAAGGTAAAAAGCTTCAGATTTTATTTTAACATGACTTTTTTCATATATCATAATCTGAATATGAAATGAGTAAATGACTTGTTTAGGGGCTTTTTTTTTGTTAAAGAGAAATACAATAGCTTTGAAAAAGGATGATCTTTTAGTTTTGTGAAATTACATACTTGAAAACTCTGAAGGGAACATATTTTCCTCAGGAAGACCAGGCAGTCTGAATGGGATAGGTGAGACAGAAAGTCTGTCTTGGCAGGTAAAGGATCTTCTCTGTTAAAGAATGCCACCTGTAATAATACGGTTAGGCAATAATGAATGCTGAAATGGCCGTACAGAGTAAAGCTGAGAGCAGTGATGGGTGTGGTACCTCCATACTAGGATAATTTCCAAGAGAAACTCCACCAAGACAAAATTCCAGCTGCTCATTGACTGACTATAATGACTGGGACACTGGGGGTGAACTGAAGACAAGAGAAGAGTTGAGAATGACAGCAGATGAGACAAAGTCTGTATAACATAATGTAGCATTTTAAGTTTGCTTACAGAGAGTGAAAGAAAAAAAAGAGACAAAGTAGATAAAAGAAAAGTACTATTGTATACACAGGTGCAGGTTTCCAGTTATTCCACTCCTGCACAGGTGTCACTTCGGCAGAACTGATCCAAGTGACGCAAATACTTCCCGCTCTTATCTCAGATGCCATCATTTAAGAGATGTCTGAAACTTATCAAGAAAAAAAAAACAAGTTTTATAGTGATTTCCTGTCACACCTATTTTTCTGTTGTAGCTTTCTTGGCAAATTTTGCAGTTTGGTATTGCAGCACTTTTTATGTTACTGTCACCTCAGTATAAATCACTTGAGTTAAGTATTTCACTTTGGATTAATGAGTCTGCTGAATGAATAAATGTGAATATTTTCCTTGTCTTTGCAAAGGCAACATACATGTGTCTGTAGAAAAAAGGGCATGTTAATTTTCCTCCTGACCATAGATGTCACTGAATCCCATCTCAGCACATTTATTGAATGGTTATGTTTTTTATTTCAATATTTTTCGAAACATCAGCATTTGTGTGATTTATTCCAGTTTATTATTATTATTATTATTGATGCATAATTATATATAATGATGCATTATCCTGTACATGCTAAATTTAATTCCAAAAATGTTACAATTTATTAGTAAATTAATTCACACATTATTCTTGAGGGGGACAGCTTTCTCTGCTGTTTATTAATTTTTATATATTTTATATTTCATCTCTATAGTTATCATGTTGATTCCCAAAAACTGTAACATGATCAAAGTAAAAAGTATTAGTTTTCTGAAAACGCGAGATCACATAACCAAAACAAAGAAAGGTCATTCTCTTGTATTGCATCAGAAGAAAACATTTGAAGGGGTGGCGTTTAGTGTGAATGAGTGCGCAGTAAAAGAGGAGGAACAGAGAGCTCCAGTGCCTGTCCTCCTCCCACCTCCTCATCAGCATACATGACTCACGCCATTCACTGTATGGGTATCAGCACTACTCTACCACTCACAACTCAGACAGCAAGAGTCGCTGCATGGAGTGTAGACGAGTAAACTTTTGTGCTCCAACTATTTACAAGCAGTCTGAAGAGAAGACTTGATGATTAGTAGCGTAAGTTTAATTCTCCTGTTCTTGTCTCATTTGTTTCAGGATTTTGTTAATTGTTCACTTAAATTGTTTTTTTTTTTTTCTCCATAGTTTCTGTCATGGAATTTTGTGGTTTTGTGTTTGCGCCCACTATATTGTGTCCATGTGTTCAGAATGCCAGTGCTTGAACTTGTAGGATAACCCTTTCAGAAACATTATCTAGAGTGTCTATTGATGTTCTTCAGCTTTTTTGTCAATTGCTTGAAATTTTAACTTGATATCTGGAATTCTCTGAAATTACTTCCTCTTTTATTTGTTTGTTCTGTAATACTCTTCTGTGATTGCATGAAAATGTTAAATGCCTTATTCGTTTAAAATTTTAGTTTTTTATTAAAATGGAGCCTAATTGTGTTGTCTTCATGCAGGTTTCTGGGACTCTGAACTGTGCAATAAGAGGAAGTCTTCTGTGTCTGGGGAGACTGTTTGTGAAATTTCACAACAAAGACTGAAACAGTGGTTATCCCCAAGAGTTCCGGCCATCCCATTCACTCGGACCCCTTCTGAACTTGAATGCAGTCAATCCAACGGAGCACTGTGTTTCATCAATCCTCTGTTCCTGCAGACACACCAAACCAACCCTTCACCTAAAAAGCAAGAATCATCCCCGGGAAACACAAATCGGCAGAACGGGGAAGACAGCGTCTTTTGCCGTGCAAAAAGCACACAAAACAAATCACATGCAAGTGTGAGCAGATCCAATAGCGAGAGATCACCACCACCTCGGCCTCCACCTCCCCGCTTTGCCGGCAGATCAGCAGTTCTTCGCAAACAGAAGACCATGCCTGAGACGGTCTGTTGGATCAAAACGCCTCAGGAAAAGAGCAGCCTGCTGGGGAGGTTGGGATCATCCTTCAGTTCCTTATCGCCCTCATCCTCCCCACCCAAAAAGTTCAGTAAACCCATCCTGGTGCCCTCATCCCGCAGTAATAATTCCTCTGGTCTGCTTGATGCCGATGGCCTCCGCTGCCACATGGCCCTGGATGACCAGACCATTGAGGAAGCTGTGTCTTGGAGCCTGGCCAAGCTGTCCTCACGCAACTCCACCACCCTGGAGAACGGTAGCCCCACGGATGAGCGCTGCTCCAGCGGACGAGAGCGTCTGAGTGACATCAGCATCTCCACCTCGTCCTCTGACTCACTCGACTTCACCCACAGCTTCTCACTGGCCATGGAGGCCAGTCCCTCCAGAACCGAGCGGCCCACTGGTGACAGCAGCCTGGAGGAGGAAGAAGACGATGGAATCAACTTGGAGAGCGACCAGGAGGTGCCACCACCCTTCAAGTCAAAGAAGCAGAATGGCGCTGGTACGTTTGTGCTGCCGCGTGCACTGAGAGGACATTTGCGCAAGATGAGTGGCGTTCTCAATTCTCTGATGACACCCGAAAAGAGAGCCATTCGGAAGATTGTTGAGCAATCCAGGGATAAAGGGACTTACTTTGGCTGCCTGGTGCAGGACTACGTGAGCTTCCTGCAGGAGAACTGCGGCTGCCACACATCAGGCTTAGACCTGCTGCAGACTCTCAGGCAGTTCATGACTCAGATGAAGTCCTACCTGCTGCAGAGCTCAGAGCTTGACCCACCAATTGAGTCCCTTATCCCAGAGGATCAAATAGGTAAGGCTTCCTTCCTTCAGTTGCTTCCTTCTGTGCTAAGAAAGGGAAACTGAATTGTTGCTCTGGTGCCACTAATTATACAAAGGAAGTAGGGGTGTGCAACATGTATTGTTTACAATAATATAGTAATAGGTCTTTTAATGATGTGCAAACTTACAGTATTGAGTATGTCATATGTTTAGGGCATCTGCTATACGTAAGACCGTAACTGCAAACGGTCTAAGTTGTTTTAACCCGTCAAAGATCGGCGACGGCCTCAGATTATTGTTGTTTCACTTTCACAGCACGTTAAAACATCTCACACTTACTTAATCTGGACAAACTGTGCATCAGTAGAAAGATTAAAGACTCTAGCTTTTATATTTGACCACTGTTTTGATAAAACATTGTTGCAGTGACAGTAATTTAGTAATTTATGTCAGGAGTGCAAAATAATAAATCCGTATAATCATATTTGGAATAGAAATTCACCACGCATTCATATTCAGTCACGTCTGCAGCGGTTTATTTGCGTTCACATAGCTTCACTGAACAGCGTCAATAAGGGTTTATAGTCCAAAGATGCATATACATGGAGATATATATATATATATATTTACTCATGTTTACTTCATATTTCTTCTGACAGAATCATCATTTCTATTCATTTTCCACTGATTTACGCGATCTGATGATAATTAGCCGCTCCCTGGGCTGTCTCTGTGTGTTTACTCTTCTGTGCTCGCGCTGTGAAGAGAAACCCTGATTCGTCTGTCGCACTGCAGTCACGCCATCTACGCTGAAAATTTTGTTGCGCGTCTACATGGCGTTGCGTGGTAGTGATGGCCATGAAGCTTCGAAAGCTTTGCAAATCATTTTTTTTTTAAGTGGGTCGGAGCGCGTATCAAACTGAAACCACAGTCAATTAATCGATAATAATAGGCTAATTAAAAACACATTATACAGGCACTTCTTATTTAATGGTATTTTATTGTTTAATTGTATAAAACTTTCAATAAAACATTTGCAGTGGGTTTGTAAAATGTTTTATGCATATTTTGGCCTGAGGCACTTGGTGTTGGTATACATATTTTAAAAATTATTAAAAAATAATTTGTCGACGCCTTGTCAATCATATTGCGACTAATAACAAGCCCCGTCTCATCCTGTCACGAGCTCCCCTGACCTTCCGCGTTCATATCTGACCATAACAAACACAGAGAAACATCTGGGGGCTGTTTCATAAAAGACGCTAAGAAAAGCGGGGATTAAAGTCCAAAACCTGACTTGAAATAACCTAAGAAATCAATCGGGACTAAGGCGGTTTCATAAACGTCAATTTAAGTTCATGCAATCTCACTAATTCGATCCAGGTTCAGTGAGTCAAGATCATTTGATGTGCACGCTTATTCTTAAGCAGCCCTTAAAGGCTTATGCCCCGGTTTTCTGAAACGTGTCGATTTTTACAAAGCTCATCGGTCTGAAAAAGCAAGGTGTGCTCTGATTGGCCAGCTATCCAGTGCGTTGTGATTGGCCGAATTCCTCAAGTGTGTGACAGAAATGTTATGTCCCTTACCATATTGTGATGCCTGCGGCAACCACATGTGACGACCCGGGCTGGACTGCTTCGTCCACGGTGAAAGCCGATCCGGTGATCCACAGCGGGAAGTTGAAGTATTTCCTCAGCGACCAGCATGGATCAGCTCCAGGCATGACAATGAAAGGACAAATTGAAATCGCATCATATGAACCCTTTAAGGTCGATCATGGATCAAATCGATTGAGATGGTCCTCCCTGCAGAACACAAGATCCAGGGGGTGTGGTTGGATCCAGATCCAACTCCTCCCACCTTACATATAAACCTACCCGTCTCCACCCCCTGATCCCTAAACCCACCCATCTCCACCCCTAAACCTACCATTCTCCACCCCCTAGATGTGGATCCAACCACGCCCCCTGGATCTTGTGTTCTGCAGTGAGGGGCTACTGAATCGAACAGCGAATATTTGTGCTGTTTAATGCATTTGAGATGTTGTGTTTTCCTCGGTGCATAACTGACACGTCACAGGTATATTTTTCACATGTAAATGTTAGAAAGTCATGCAAATATATCCACTTTACTGTCAAGAACAGTAAACTTTGAAGTGTCAGCTTCATGACAATGTCAGCTTCCTCAACATATGTTGATTATGTATAGTCAGAAAGACTGATGAGCAGCAACCTTTTTATTTTGGGTATGTCATTTGTGTCTCCATGCTGAAAATGGGGGGTGACCGCAAAGGGGTTTAGGCAATTAATGAAATGCGACTAGCTGAATAAAGTTCCAGTGAGCACTGATTTGTGTTGCCAAATGAGCGCCTTACATAATTCTTGCATTGATACCTTTGGCCCTGTCCCAAATGCCACCATAAGCTCTTGCAGCCTTCTTCCGTGTCCACACTTTGTGTTGTAATGCTGCATATATTGTTGAAAATGAGTCTGTTGTGAAGTCTGCAAAAGTGTGCATTGAAGCTGCAAAAGAGGGAGCTTTTTGGTTTCGAAATGGGACATTTTTTCGTCCTCATGGACTTCACAAGCTGCAGCTGCCATTGCAAGACCACAAGTACACTTCAAATGTGCTATTTGGGACTGGGCCAATGAGCACTAAGCACATTAAATTGACACTTCTCTGCAGTATTAAGGCACTTAATGATCTTGTCAATGTTAATTAACTTACTCTCAATGCAGAGGATGAGAGGAATTAATATTTGCACTGACTACTGGTAAACAGACATTTTTTTGTTGTTGTTGAGGATAATGCAATTACTAAGGGCAGAGCTCATATTCTATGAGCTGTGTACAATGCTATTGCCAACATATTCATGAATCGATATGCATATTGTTGCATTATGGTGAACTATAAAGAATGGCCAGCTGTGCATCACAATATTGCTCATTTTTAAGGGGCTGTAGGATGGAAAAGTGACATTGAGAAAAGCCCATGACTGTTTTGTGGTTAACAAACATTGGAGGAGAGTCTCTCAGGCTGAGGTTGCCTTGACGGACTGTTTCTAATCAGAACCTTCCTGTAAAATGAGGCAGCGCTCTGTCACAGCACAACAAATATTTTCTAGCACTGGAAAACTACAAATAAAATGCTACATTTTGAAATGCAGAACATTTTAATAATATTAGATATGATGCAACAACAAATGTGCAAGGGAAATATTTATAATTAGAACGCCAAAATTACACATGATTACTACCTATTGACACCACTGTACCACTGCAAACTATAAATTATGTGTGGAAGCAAACAAATACACCATAAGTATGAATGCTAAACTTGTGTGTGCGTGTGCATGAGACAAAACTCTCATGCCCGTTCATCTCAGCCTGAAGGCATTTTACACACAAAAGGCACATTGAGCTGAGATATACACAGGCATATTCATGTGTGGGCAGAGAACCATTAGTATGGCTTGTATAACTGGCCACACGTCTTTCACAGTCAGTAGCAAGCAATTACATACTTTATACGACGACATACTAACTGTAAAAGCCCAGTAGATACACATGCTATAGCAGTTTAGTGATCACGAAATTAGTTCAGGACCATGGATAGTATGATGGATGATTTTCAGCTCAGCTGGATTTTGTTTTGGTTCTTCAGGAAATTTGCACCATCCATCGCCCTGAGCATCCTCCTCCTCTCACGAGTTGTAAACAAAGTCCTGCTCTGCTATGTGTTTTGAGGAATAGATCACTTTCCAGATGTTCCCAGAATGAATTTCAGCCAAACGAGCCAGTGTCTCCAATACAGCTCTTCTACGATCCACCGTAACCCCTCCTGCTTGTCGATTCAGGCATTGAGTATGTGGGTGTCAGGCAAGAATGTAGAGAAAAGGCTCTTGTTCAGAGCTCCTAACCTGATGCAGCTGCCTATGTGTACTGGTAGATTTTTTGTGTGTTCATGTTGTGTTTAAACAAGCCCAGCACAATAAGGGCTGTAGCTATGAGATTATGCTGCCATAAATCCTATTCTGTGACTTAAAATAGCAATAAGAACAAGCTTGAATGCACAGTTAATGACCTTTGACTTTTCAGGTCACCCTTTTTTTGCTGAGATCTGTTTTTAAATAGCTGAATAGTCAGTGCTCTTTTAACTCATTTTTGAGTCATAACAGGGTTAAGACACGGTTTTATCGAGATGTGTCTGGGAAGACTCATTGTTGCTACTTCAGGCCAAGGATTTTTTTTATTGTTGTTGTGCCTCTGCTCTATTCCGAGAACTTCCTTAAAAACACGTCTAAGAGTAGAGATTCAGTGTGAAGTTATCATTCGTTTTCCTGAAAGACTTAATTTATGTGGAGGGTTCAATAAACTGTTAGGGGGATTTTATTTGGTCTCTTTGTCTGATTTAGTTTGTGTGTGCCTTTTGTTCTGTGCTGTGACGTACTTTGTGGCCTTGTCTCCTAACGCAAGCACTAGCGTGTACTTGTGTGGGAAGCATCAGTGGATTCACTTCTCCTGTCACTGTGGCTTCATTTTCCAGTCTGCAGTGCAGACGTGAAGTGTGAGAGACAGAGAGAGCGCTATGTAGGAGAGACGCTGAGGAGGACAGGAGATTTGTTTTGAGGGGATGTTAACAAACTTTGGAAGATAACCTTTCAAGTAGAGGTGGCCTTGACGGATGAGTGTTTCTAATCTGAGCCACATTCCTGTAAACATTCCTGTTGCCAACAACACTGAGGTTTCCTGTTGTCTTGCTGTCCAATGACATTCTTATTATGGGCCGAATTCACTAATGAGTTGCTAAATAATAAAAATGAAAAAGACAGTATACATTACATTATAAATTATTTTTAAAAATCTAATAAATTAAATTGCACTATTGCGCTGTTTAAGTAAATAGTGCTGGTCAGCAAACATTTCATTCATCACCTCTTTTTATGTAAATTAGGTGTAAAATTCACAAAAGTCTGTCTGGCACAGTTGACATTATCCTATAGAGTTAAAGTAGGCAATAAATGAAATTTTATTTAAAAGAGATTTTTCTGATTGTAGCTGCTCTTACTTGTTTATAAAATGGACTAGAGGCAATAACCAGGCATAGATACAGACACAGTGTAGTCTTAATATTAATATTAAGTGTAAAATGAAAATTAAATAAATATCGAATTAAGTTATAAAGTAAAATATTATATTACAGAACTATCTGTACCCCTCCCATTCTCTTTGCTTCTACTGCGTCTGCGGTTCTTCCAGAGAATAAAGCTCTTAAGTGGAACTACAAACTGGCTCAGTTCCTCTAAATCTGTAGCTCTGTGCTGCCCTCTCGCCTTTATTAGCAGAGCTCTCTACATCACTCACAAAAGTGAGAGGAGCCTTGCTTATTTACCGAGTTATCTGCTCTCTCTTGGGACTGACGACCATATAAACACATTTGCAACTAAGCTGATTCTGTTAAATTGATGTCAGCGCTAAAGTCAGACCTCTAGAACACCCTGATGCAAGGCACGATGACTATGTCTATTTATTAGTTATGCTTCTGATGGATAATTTCTTGTGAATGGAGTGGGAATATCGGGAATATCTGTAGCCTTGACTATTTAAAAAAAGGAAGCTATTTCCACATGGCGATTGTTGTGGACACTTGTAGACAACATTTGACCCCATTGTGAGCACTGCCAACAAGCAGCCTATGTGTCTTTTTACGCTTTACTTTGAGGTAATTTGGAATATTAAAACGGGTTTAGTTGACTTAATTTCCCAAAACAGGTTTGCCAAGTTACTGTCACAAGCAGTTGAGTCATACTGACACACATGATTAAGACGATTCTGATAAATGAAGTGTAAACTGTCAGGTTACAAGTTGCGATTCGAAATCATCTAGCCTTTCATAGATATAATGCAAAGTTTTTCTAGAAAACAGCCTACCTTCAAATCATTATGCCATTTATGCTTAAAAAACATTTATATAAAATTGTATTTTTACACTTGCTCACTGTAATGAATTTACATTTGTAATGGACCAAAAAATGGAAAGCAAACACACAAATGGCATTAGTTTGATCTACTATATTATATATATATATATAATGCTGAAATAGAGTACATGATGGAGTTACTGGACCCATCACTGCTTCATGGAGAAGGTACATTAGAAGACCCCAGTGGGTTCCACATATCCGTCACAATCATTGGGCTACTGCAATAACTGCTGAAGTTATTATTATTAATTATTCATTTCATTGGGTATCAAACTTTTTTAATGTTCCAGTTTTTTTAATCTGATTGTAGGAGGCTATTACCTGACCAGTGCATATGGGGCAATGTCCCTAATCAAGAACTTCCAGGAGGACCAGGCAGCTCGTGTGCTGAGCTCTGAAACCCGTAACACGCTGCACCAGTGGCACCGTAGACGCACAACCCAGCGTACCACTCCATCTGTGGATGATTTCCAGGTCAATTCCTTATTAGACATGGTCATATAAGTTCTATTCTCTCTTTTCTTCCTTGAAACAATAGAAGTTTAGGAACATAAATATGTGTTCTTAAACGAGATTGATATATATTGGGATTTACACCTAGATTTCTTCTTGTCTATATTCAGAACTACTTGCGGGTTGCGCTGCAAGATGCAAGCAGTGGCTGCACAGCCAAAACCCTTCAGGTGCAACCTTACGCCACAACGGAGGAAGTGTGTCAGATATGCGTTGACAAGTTTAAAATTTCGGACCCGGAGAACTACGCCCTTTTCCTCTTGATGGATGAAACCACACAGCAGCTGGCCCCGGACACTCACCCGCAGAGGATCAAGGCCGAACTGCACAGCCGCCCACAGCCACAACTCTTCTTCTTTGTGTACCGCCAAATCCAAAACCTCACTGTCCCTTCAGACCAACTCAACGACAACACTGCACCCAACTGAGAGAGCAAACCTGGTTTCCATTGGGTCCTCTCGAAACTCCTTCTCAGCCACATTTATTCATCTCCTTCCTTAGGAACACTGCTAACGTCTGCATTGTTTTGAAAAAGGGAGGGATGCGGAAAATGTGCTTAGAGGGAAATAGGGAAGGAAGGATGTGTCTGACAGATGCAGCGTTTTTTATGCTCCGTCTTCACTATTTTCAAAACGTTTTGGGAAGTGGCACGAGACCATCACGAGAGAATAGCTGTACCCAAACTGCAAATGTTACAGTATGCCTGTTTATTTCTTCATGAATGTTCAAACACATTCAGGTTAGCAGAGAAACCGCAGCATTTTAGTGTTTATGGGTAGGCTTTGCACGTTCCATATTAAATATGCTCCAAAATTGTGCCTTCCTCTTCCCAAAGCTCTACATACCTCTCCTGTCTCCTATTCCTCACCAGGCTGAGAGACTGTGGCATTTTTTCGTATGACTGCATTGACTTTTAGAAAGTTAATTCCTTCAGCATTCCTAACATGGACATCTCAGTCCCTAAGGACATTGTGGACAATTGTTTTTTTTGGCAGTTGCTGGTAAACTGCATTCTGTTTATATATGATTTATTGTTATAATATTGCAAGTATCTCTGTGATAAGACCAATTAAAGAACCAGGCATTGTTGCCAGTGATGTTTTATCATAATGCTTTTGTATGAATTATGATCATTAAGTTTTGTTAAAGTCATTAGTAGTAATGGAGATGATAGAAATGGTGAGGTTTAGTTCTAAAATACTGTACTACTACTGACAAGCTAAACATTTAGAGCTTGTGGTAATCTGCATCTCTGTTGTACTGATTTTGATTTTGACTTGCAGAAAAGGGGCTTTTGGCAAGTAGGACAAATGGAAAGATCTGTGTAAAGTAAGAAAGAATATGAAAAAAAGGACATGGCTGTTGGTCATTGGTAGAAAATATCAACGAACAGAAATGGTGTTTGTGTCACTGTAAAGTGCTATCGGAATACCGAGATGGATGAGTAACATAGAGGAGAATAGTTCTTTAACATTCATAACTATACTCATAACCTCTGCAATAACGTACCAAGTATTTCATGTTCTACTAATGTACTATATGTTTGCATGTTTTGATGTAAACTCAGGGCATTGTTTTTTTTTGTTTTTAAGAGACCAGGGTGCTGAAATGTTCTAATTCCATGTAACAATGATATAGAAACACTAGTCACATCGAAACACAAACTATATGTTTCAAGTCGTGTAATGTATTTTAACAAGATATTTTAAGTCTGTTAAATGTATACATATTTATATGCAATCTGTGCAGGAATTTTCACAGATTTGAAAAATATTGTGTATTCATTTGGAGAAAAGCTCATCCTCATTCTTTAGTCAGTTCTTCATATTTGCCTTTTTTAATGTACTCTTTGCACACAATAAATTAATGTTGAACATTTATCATCTCTGTCATCTTTTGTTACGAGCTTCCACAAGTCTTAGCCTTTTCTACATTAGTGGTTGGTTGGGTACCCTGCCAGTTCCTTTCTTGGAATAGGTGAATAGTTTCCACTTCATTGCCATGAGGGCTTGTACTTCCCACATTACTGATTCCACATAAATTGAAATAATTAGAAGGCTCCTCTGACTGTTTTCTCACTGTCTTCCATAAGTGAGGATTATTACTGTGTGTGTGTGTGTGTGTGTGTGTGAGATAGAGATAGAACGAGAATGTTAGTTTTATTTATATAACACTTTTCATAATGGACATTATTTCAAAGCAGCTTTACATTAAAAAAATGTATAAAAATTGAAGAAAGAATGTCTTACATTTTCTAAGACATTTAGATAATGCATGTGTTGACTTTACAGTAAAATGTAACATTTAAAAGTTCACTGTGAAAAATTGAATACATAATTATACTAATGAAGATCTTAAAAGAGAGCTGAATCCTGCTGATTTAGACCAGATTTGAATTTCCATAAAGCATGGACTGCTGTAATACTTTAGCCCCTCTTAGTGGATAATTATTGCAATAATATATAAAGCTCACAAACTAGAAAAAGCACAAAATCTTTTTGGTAATGGATCCTTAAAAACAACAGTCTGTCAATGATTAAACCATGAACAATCATAGTTTAATATAAAAAGGCCACATCAATAAATATTTAATGGGAAATATTTTATACATACACTACCAGTCAAAGGTTTTTGAACAGTAAGATTTTTTATGTTTTTTTTTTTAAAGAATTCTCTTCTGCTCACCAAGCCTGCATTTATTTGATCCAAAATATCAAAAGCTATAATATGGTGAAATATTAGAACTGCTTTCTATTTGAATATATTTTAAAATGTAATTTATTCCTGTGATTTCAAAGCTGATTTGTTTAGCATCATTACTCCAGTCTTCAGTGTCACATGATCCTTCAGAAATCATTCTAATATTCTGAATATTAGATAATATTCAAAAACAATTATTATTATTATTATTATTATTAATATTATGTTGAAAACAGCTGAGTAGATTTTTTTTTTCAGGTTTCTTTGATGAATAGAAAGTTCAGAAGAACAGCATTTATCTGAAATAGAAATCTTCTGTAGCATTATAAATGTCTTTATCATCACTTTTGATCAATTTAAAGCATCCTTGCTAAATAAAAGTATTAATTTCTATAATTTCTAATTATATAAATTATTAATAAAGTATTCATTTCTATAACCCCCCCCCCCCCCCCCCC